ACAATCCTCCTTAAAGACCAAGAACCTTAATCTCAAGGTAAGTTGGTTACTTGCTTTTTCTCAGGGAGTAGGGGAGGAGCAGACTCCAGACTAAACCCAGGTGAAAGGATCCACTTCTTTTTACTGCATCTGTTCCCTCAGGATCTACAGCAACCTGGGAATGAGCTCATCCACATCACTGAGGAGCTCAGTAGTATGTATTATTATTGAGTTCTTAAATGTCTATTGACCTTCTGTTTCTGACTATCACTCTGGGTATCAGAGATTAAAATTTATTTTTTTAAAGATTTATTTATTTATGCATAGAGAACTGTGGTACCGGCCAGAGATACAGGGGCAGTGAGAGGATTCACCAGAGACAGAGTGGGGAGCAGAACAGGTGGACTGACAAAGTACTGCTGAGGGGGGCAGCAGGCAGTCAGGAGAGGTCTGCCGCATCATGTGGTCACCTCAGGGGCAGGGATGGAACTCATGCTGAAGTGGCTTTAGCTTCTTAGTGCTGTGCTTTAACTTGCTGTGCCACCAGGGAGGGCCCTAAAATTTATTTTTAATGAAAAAAATATCAGGAATCATACTGACTCTATATCAGTAACAGCATAGAACTATATAAAAACATAGACCTATATCAAAAACTGACATTTTGAGCAAAAGAACCCAGACAAAAAAGAATAATACTATGTGCCTCTACTGATGTGATATTCTAGCTTCATGCTGCCTGATATGGTAGCCACTGATTACATATAGATGTTTACATTGAAGTTAATGTATTTTCTGAAATTATTTTTGTTCTAAAGACATATTGGATACATGTGGCCAATAATTACCATGCTGGATACTGCAAAATTAGAAAATTTCCTTCACTGAATAATATTTTCTTGATAATGCTATTCAAAAAATATATATATCATATATGTAATGACAAAAAAGCAAAAGAATAATTTAATGCCAGTAGGGTAAGAGAAGTGACTACAAAGACATATGAGGAAATTTGGGGTTGACGGAATGTTCTAAAACCTTTGTTGTGGCAGAAGCTACATTGCATAAAATGTGTCAAAATTCCTTCAGCTGTACACTTAGAAATAATAATATTTGTTGTATGTAGTATTTGTGACAATAAAGATGATTCTAGAATATTAAATATTTTCAGAATTTTTTTCAACCAGTTACCGTAATTATCATTATTCTTATACAGGCAATATTTTATAAGTCCTAGCAATAGTTCTTATGAAAAAATAGCTAGAATTCAGGAGGGAAGTAGCAGGTGCACTTATGTGAGTGCAGATTTAATAATTCTGGACATTAGAGATAGAGGAGCTGCCTTATACCTGGGAATAGAAGAGAGGCTTCGTGTTATTCAAATGATTTTTGGCATATGAACATGTGTCAACATGGTTTAAAGACATCTGGATGGAGGACAAAAAAATGATCTGAAACAGGAGACTCCAGAAAATTTATAATGTAGCAGAAACAGTGCTTAAGGTAACTATTTAGGAAATCATTTCTAGGGACATGTTTGTGTTATGGATACCTGAGGTTTTCAGCTGTGCAAAGCTGGGGAGGAGAAAAAAATCCTTCTTCTATATTATGTCCAGTGCTCTAGACCCTAAAGGCTGCTGGTTCCATATGTGCTTTACTTTCTCCTCTTCTTCATACAAATGGAGTCTTTACAAAGAACTCATTCAAACCTGTAGGCATACGTTGTGTTCAGAGAGTCATTTGCCTCCTCTTAAGCTTCAGTGTGTTTTAGTCTATTACAGTCTCTGCCTAGTAGACTTAAGGTACTGAAAAATCATCAAACTAGTACACTTAAGTAATAATTCATGCATTTGTATAGGAACCTGAGTCCCCTAAGGGAAAAGGGATGTCATATAAATATAAGTGGCAATTATAATAATTATAGTATAATTATCACTTATTTTCCCAGCTTGTGATGGGCTGTTTGCTGTGGGTAAGCTGCTGAATCCTGGTGATAGTTCCTTGTTGCCACTGGTCAAGGTACCTGTCTGCATTGATTTCCATAATACAACAAAAACCTTGGAGCCTCCCTGGTGGGGCAGTGGGTTAAGTCTCAGCACTATGAAGCTACCTATATCCACTGCAGCAGGGCTTTGATTCCTGGCCAGGGAGGTGACCCACATGGTGCAGCAGACCTCTCCTGTCTCAACTGCTGCTTCTTCAGCAGTGTATTTCTGTCGATCATCCTATTCCCTCTGGTGAATCTTCTTACTCCCCTGCACCTCTAACCTGCACCCCTGCCCTTGTATGCATATATAAAAATATTTTTAAAATATGTATTTTTTCCTAAATTATTTGCGTTTCCCCCCCCTTTTTTTATCCTTTAATATGTTCCCTAGCTAAGTAAACTTGGGACTTTTTTTATGACAACTACTGTTTAAGGGCATACCTTTTACATGGTCTTTTATTTCATAAAGTAAGTTATAAAGTTTTTGAAATTAAAAACATGCTAAAATTATTTACAAATTGAATTTTACTTGGGAGTCTAACATCTATCCTGATAATTTAGAATACATAGAAGAATTCTTTTAAAGTTTCAGAAAGAAATGAACATCAAGCCTGCACAGCTCAGTAGGAGTTGTTAGAGTCCAGGACTCTTGGCACTAGTGCCACAAGGTAGCTTTCTGGAAAGCAGAATCTGGGACTCACAGTGGACCTACTGACCAGAATATGCATTAACATAATTATTCACAGCTTCATTAAAATTTGAGAAGTCCTTCACTAGAAATCATTATTTCCGCCCTCCCTGGCTGTGCAGCAGGTTAAAGCACAGCACTATGAAGCTATCCGCAGCCACTGCAGCATGAGTTCAATTCCCAGGCTGGAAAGTGACCCACATGGCACAGCAGACCTATTCAGTCCCACCACCACCACTACCACACACCCCCCCCTTTGCATTTGTCAGCAGTGTATTTCAGTGGCTCTGTCTGTTCTGTTCCCTATTCTGTCTCTGGTGAATCCTCACCCCCCAAACCTCTGGCCTGTACCCCAGTTCTATATGCATAAATAAATAAATCTTTAAAAATAAGTTTGTTCTAAGATTTATTTATTTGTGCATATAGAACTGGGGTACAGGCCAGAGAGCAGGTGTGGTGAGAGGACTCACCAGAGACAGAGCGGGGAGCAGAACAGGCCGACTGACGAAGTATACTGCTGAGGGGAGCAGTGGGCGGGTCATGAGAGGGCTGCCTCACATGCGTCACTTCCAGGGCGGGGATTGAATGCATACTGAAGTGGCTTTAGCTTCTTAGTACTGTGCTTTAACCTGCTGTGCCACCAGGGAGGCCCCTAAAAATAAATTAAAAAAAAAAAATTATTTCCCAAGGGCATTGCAACTGAGATGGAAAAATGTACAAAAATATGTAAGAATGAACTAATATAATATTTTTTTTAAAAAATCATTATTTCACCTCTTATTTTATAAATGGGAAAGTTGAAGCGATATGTGATGAAACAACTTGGCCAAGGTCAGAAGAAATGGAGTACTTTCAATAAAGAATGTTTTATATTCAGGTCATCTGTATTTGCCAATAGTAGGGAATAAAGCCAAACACTTTAACTCCAATTAACAATTCTATAATTAATTAGTAAAATGATCTTCCCTTCAAGTTTCACGTTTTGTAGAACAAGCTGTTTGATTTGGCTGGGGCTCAGGTCGGCGTGTTTATGAATTTCACAATTCACAGATGTTAGACACTCTGAGGCTAAGTAAGGGAAGAGAATGTCAAGTTTTAAATAGCTTCTCTCTCCTCTCCTGGCTGAAGCAATAAATAAAATATTTTTATGAAACACATTTTGAACCAGAATTTATTTTTATAAGGAAATGTCAAATTTCTCAGAAAAGGACATGTGATTGTCTCACAACTTTGACAACTAGTGATGTCACCAATTCACAGGTGATCTGTGATTAGTGGCTGAGTGGAAGATGTGAACTTACACTTGTGACACTCAAGCACATAAACTTGTGCTTCTGCCCCTCTATTGAAGTCTATTTCAATTTAGCTGCTGAATCATATTTCATTGAATTCCCAAATTCATAAATCAAGGATAGTTTTACAGCCTGCATTCATAAAGGGAATAAATAATTCTGCATGTTTTAAATTTTCCTTGATATTATATCCATTTTGGATAAATCAATATATTATAGTTTTACTCCAAAGTAGATCATGTCAAAGCAAAACCAAAAGGAGCAAAAATAGTAACACAAATAAGAAAATGAGACAGACTGATAGAGATTGAATAAATTCTAGTGTTATTAGTAAGCTAACAATTTGAAATAATTTTGTAAGCTTCAAAACAATGTAAAATAACATATTATTTTCTAGTCAGACCACTAAAAAGTTGTTATGAATGGAAATCTCTTTCTCTTGGTTGAGATGGAGAGTGAGTTCTAGGTTAAATATAATCAAGGAATTTCCCTGTCTTTGCTATTTGAGATTGTGACCACAACAGGCGGTTGGCTGAAAGGGAGAATGATGGGGGGGGCGGGGGGGGGTTAGGGGGGGTGGAGATGAAAAAAAAAAAAAACTTCCTAAGCAACTCTGTAAAACTTTAGCTCCAGGAGCAGTTACAGAAGTCCTCAGATCAGTATGCAGATACAAGAAGACATTAATTACTGTATTCGGGTTAATACTCATCATCTCAATTCTGTGACAAAAGTCCAGGTTGCTGAAATTAAACTCTGATGCCATTCATGCCAGCATCCAATAACCAGAGAGAGGCAGAAGTTTAGAGATGCTTCCAAGTTGCCAACAAATGTGGCCACTATACGTCAAGGATTCTAAAGCCGTGGTGGAAGGGGAGCAACTTCAGAGAGGATGCCCAGCTGGTAAGAAACCACTGTTTCTGATGTTCTAGTCACTTGATGAATCTCATTGGCTAACATCAAAAAATGCTCCGCCTCTTTGCAAATGTGTGTGAAGTGGGGAAGTGTCTAATCTTCTATGTCTGATAGCATTTGACCCTATCGCTTTTAGCCTCCTGACTTCCTATCCTTGTATACACAGGTATATGTGTATATGTTATATTATTAGTCTCCATTTATCGATATCAAAGAGAGTTGAAGGAAATGAATTTTGAAACTTCACGGTGTGCTACCCTACAGTACTGTCCCGACCCGTACATCCAGCGGTGAGTTAAACGTGACGTAACTTCTATCAAAACTTAACTGGATTGCCTTGTGTAGCATGAGTGTTTCTGTTGTGTACAAAAAGGAAACCTTCCTTGTGTTTGAGCACAGTGTTGTTATTTGGACTTTCTGTGGACTTGAAGTAGTTGTGGGCATCTTTTCTAATTTTTCTTTTTAAATTCATGCCTGGATGTACAAAGTGACAAAGTTTGAAGGCAGTCTTCCATGGTTTCTTAAAATATCATCACACCATCTGATTTTTTAAAAAATATTTTATTTGCCTTGTTTAGAACTCACCCACCCAGGGAGAAACGTCATTGGGCAGGACCATAATAACCTGGGGGTGATCTTCAAGTCAAAATAAATGCAGAATAATTTTGATTTATACATTAAAAATAGATAAATAGCCATTGTTATGCCAAACAGATTGTGACTTGTCATTTTGGCTCTGAGGAATGTTTTCTCCTTGATTTGTTTCATAACAAACATCATCTTTTGACAAATCTGACTTTAAAAACCTATGATTAGCCTGAATTTTATTTGTGTTTATAGAAAGGAACATTTGCCTAGTACTGAGAAGGAATATTAGTGAGCATGCACGATGTGTGTGTATGTGTTTCAAATTAGAGTTTGCTATTTTTAAACTGGTAAGTGAAATCTGAACAGTGTTTTTCCCGTCATAAAGTTATGGGAGATATTTAAGTCGTATGGAGCAGTGTGATGTTGTTAATTTAACAGCATGATATTTGATGTTGGAATTTCATACTTTATTTGATAAGACTAATGAGAGAGGTTCTCTGAGTGCTGAAACAGTTGGGGCTCCAAAGGGGTTAACTTGTCATTCACCACCTGTGGTTGTTGGAGTCTGACCCCAGAAGTAGAGTGGGTCCTTGGGGCAGGGCTCAGTTTCTGGTGCTTTGCCTAGGGAATTATGGATGATACATGATCTTTTTCATTAATATGATTTGTCACCACATAGAACATTAATGAGGGCAATGCAGATTTTGCTTCTCTTCCTGTGAGGTTTATGATAGGCTGTTTGGAAAAAAAAAAAAAAAAGAGGAAATGTAAGATTGAATGGTAAGTGAAATGTGGAGAGAAAAAAGAGAGGGAGGAGGGGAAAGAGAGAGAAAGCAAGTTTTGTTCTTACAGGTAGAAGGGGAATATGAATAGTGATCTGAGTCCTGTCCTGCTGTCTGCGATGAGCAATAATTATTAACAAAAGTATATGGCTGAGAGTTTACTGTTCTTGCATAAGTTGAAAATTAGATTTAGCTGAAGCTGGGAATTGGGTCCATAAAGTTCAAAACACCAGACATTTTCCAGTTCTCCAAATTTCTTATAACACAAAATAGCTTTGAAATAATATTTCTATGAACATAATTCTTATGAAACAGTAGCTATGTGATGCCTCCTTTGAGGCTCTCTCTCCTAAAGTACTTGGCTCTGTGTCAGCTTTAGAAGAAGCTTACTTCTATTGATTAGCAAGGCACACATGACCCCTGTGTCCCTCCAGAGCCATGACTAGTGATTGATGAGAGAAGACAGTAAATACCAATACATGAGGAAACTGCCTCTCATGTTGTCTCAACAAATCATTAAACCATGGTGCAAATGTCATGTATATTTTAACAGACTGTGAAATTCCAAGTAATAATGATTTTAAAAAATAACTTTAGATTTTGCAGGAATTTACTATGCTTTCATCGTGGCTGAATGTCATTTTTGGGGAAAGAAGGGAAGAATGTTGGGGAGCTGCTATGAGACTGTGGCATAAGGCTTTCAGGAAACTTTTGTTTGGCTGCATTAGGCAAGATTATGTCCTTTCCATGTGTAATAAAAACTTAATTGGCAAAAAAGAATAGAAAAACCATTTGAGCATCTACCTGGTATAAGGTATAGAATTATGAAACAGTAAGATATGACTGTAATGTAATTCCAGAGTACTTGTATACTTAAAAATGGATCAATATTGTTTCTTTACTTAATGGTTTACCCACATATAATAAGGGCTAAATACTTACTATTCTTTCTTATATACTTAGTGAGTAAATGAGCAAATTAATAAGTGTAGTATTACTATAAGAAAGCTATGATACTGTATATTGTTAATGCAAGAATCAAACAATATTCTCTTTGTTGCTTAATGAGTGAGTGGATTTGAGTTGGTTTTTCTAAGCAGTCAGTGCTTGTAGCTCTCAGTTTACAAGATCTATTTTAAGAAAGACCAAATTTAGTCATTCTATATTCATAGTCTTCTACATAGTTAAATTTGTCTTTTTCCTGACCTCGTCTTTAGAAAGGAAATATGAAGGGGAATTTTCAGAAAAGGAAAGAACAAGCTATCATTATTTTTAACTCCAAGCTACCTTAATGCATTCATTTCATTCATCACAGAAAAGAATCAAATAGAGATGCTATCATTAGCTATTGCTTTATGTTAATGCCACCCCCATTCCAAAGGACCATACATTTCAAAGTACTATGATGATCATTTTCAGAGCAAAAATTGAGAGTTCACCCTTTGTTTTTGTCTTTACATCTGGACATATTGACATACTATTATACATAAGGTTTGCTCTGATGCTGAGATAATTTAGTCTTTGCACAAACCTTTCTGAGAATCAAAAGAACTGTTGCACTCTAGAGCTTAGATTTTTCCTTTTGATGAAATTGGCCATTTCAAAGAGAAAGTTATCATGTCACCTTGTTGTTAACATAATTTTAAATAAATATTCACAAAAGCTATACATCAGAGATGAGTCAGTATTACCCTACAATTGAGAAGTATACATGACACAGTTTGTTTTTTTATATTTTACCAGGCTAATAGACAAAATGAATCCAGAATTTAATCTTGTTACAATAATTCAGAAGCAAAATCTTGGTTTATTTATTGTGTTATAATTTTGGCCTTCCTGTATTATTTTGATTTAGAATTGCCGGGTAGATATTAAAACAGATTTTTAACCAAGTAATTCCAATAAAGTAAGTTCTTTTAAAACATCACATTTAAAATAGAAAAGAATTTAAAGTGGATAAATATACATCAAGATTAAATTTTAAAGTAATGTGGTGAGGGCTAGAAAAAAAGGAAAAGTAAGTGTAATACAATCTGAACAATTTGTTAAATGGTTTTGTATTGTTATTATTATTATTATTTTAGATACCCTCTGCTCAAAAGAAACATCAAACTCTTAAAATACTGTAAGGATGAGTAAGAAGTATTTCTTGTGTAAATGGCATATTGATTGTGGACTTTATGTTTCTCTAGCTTAAAGGTCCTCTATATTAACTGTGCTTTCTAAATATATCCCAAAAGGAAAGGTGGTGATCAGGATTTTATAGTGAAACATCATTTTGTTTGTCAGTTTAAATTTCAAAAAGGCGGGAGTAGTTGTTTTTCCATTTGCCTCTCCACATCTGTAGTCCATCCTTTTCAGTCTTGCTCTGTACTCCAGGAAGATGATTCTGAATTGCCCTACCCATTCCTCTCTCTTCTGGCTTCTTTTTTAGTTCACAGTGGGAACCTCTAACAGGAGCTAGAAGGGCACAAGGAGTGAAGTTGAGATAATTGTGTCCCTGGCCACCTCCCTTCTGTCTTCTCTACTAAAAACTGCATGTCTCACCAGAGATATTCTTGCAACAGATTCAGATCTCATGAGTTCAAGGGACTGTTCCTTACTCTCCCATTACTTCAGACTTAGGGATTGTAACCATTTCCAGTCATTGTGAATTGTAAATAATCACACCAAAATCCCTAATCTCTAGATAAATAGCTCTTCAGTTAAACTCTCTTCAAATTGCCCTTGTCTCATGTTCTCATTGTTTTAGCCATGATCATGATAAATGCAATTTAAACACACACACACACACACACACACACAAATCCACAATATCGTTTGTGTTTGTATGGATGCATACATACAAATCCATAATGATATGTAATAGTATAATTTCTGATATGGGTAAAGGTTGCACCCAAACATTTCAAGGAATAAACCAATTTAATGAGAATAATCTATTAATTTTAGTCATTTACATAAGTAGTTAGTCTCTGTGACTAAAAGAAACATGTCCAACTATTTCTGTCTGCATATTTGAAATTAAGTAAGGCAGAAAGCAGGAAGAATTGGTTTATGAAGAAATATCAAGATACATTTTATCACCTGAGACAAATGCATCCACTAGTTATAACCAAGGAAAAAAAGTCTTCAAACCCTTTCTAGGTTCCAAAAGATCTTTATGATATCTTTTAGTTAGGTCAAAGTATGATGCTATAATTCTGTATGCTGATCCTGAGCTATGAGTATATTAAATGATGGAGAGACATGTATGGAAGTGTTTGTTGAGTGTGCCAAAGACTCGTCATGATGCCTGGATTGTAGACTTAACTTCATCATTAACTGATTATGTGACCTTCATGAAACCACTTAAGCTATCAGTTTTCTCACAGGAAATTGGGCATAACAAATTCTGATCTACTGTTCATAACTAAAGCTGAGAATTAAATAAGAACCCAATTAAACTCTGAGTTGCACCCTCTTAATGCACTGCTTAGGTCTGCAATTGTATGTCTAGCATCCCAGTGGGTTGAGGTTCTTTTCCAGGAACCCCAGGGACAGTTAAGTTCCATTTCCTGATATCATCGTTAAGTTAAGAACAAATATCAGTGTGGTTCTTGCTTTAGAATTGAGAAATCAATCCCGAAGGGATTAAATGATTTGCCCAAGATCACACAGTTCTACAAATGTGGAACAGAATAAAGTCTAGGATGTGGCTCCCAGTTCAATGCTATTTGTACTATAAAACAAAACATTTTATTATATTAGTATAGACCTTTACCATTAAATAAGTATTCTCTATTACATTATGTATTTGGTCCACCTGGGAGGTGGGCGGTTGGCCTATAAGAAGAGCCTCACCCTAATACAGAAGCTGCAGATATTATATTATATGACTTGGGAATTAAGATTGCAGATGGAATTAAAGATACTAATCA